TAAGCTTTTTATTTTCCAACAAAACAGAAACGTACTCCACTGGCTGTTCTGTAACGTTTTCAGTCTATAGTTTACACTGATGATTTTGTTTTATAGATTAACACTTTAGATTTTACTCTTTCTTGTAATTCCCTGTGTTGGTAAGCTCAGCTAGGCGATTCTTCTCCACACAATACTGGCCAGGGCTATAGTCCTTGGAAAACTCAACTTGGGAAGCTGAGACTTCATGATGGCTCGTTGGCTGTTACCAGATTTAAAAATTGTCCTGCTCATTTCTTAGCAGGGACAGGATTTTATTACCCTAGTCAAGTAATTGATTGGTCTGGCTTTCCTGGAACTGGAGAGCTGGTGTTTACTGTCTGTTCCTTTCTGTGGCTGGCATTGAGGCAGCAGACAGGCTATTCCTTATCCACCCTAGCCACGCCCCCCACACTCCCTGTGCCCCCTCCACACCCTCACACCCCTCACGCCCCCCCCCCAGTACTGCTGCCCATATCCTTTCTGCATCACTTTTGCTAGGTCTCAAAGAGACAGGGCTGCTCTGGGCTCATTCTGATGGATACACTGGCCTTGCCCACCCTGCAGAGACTTTGATCAATGCAGAGATGAGCCTTAGACCAGGAAGCTGCTTTAAACGGCTATATCTGCTCTTCTGCAAAGAGTGAACAGAAAGCCTGCGTACAGGGGGCAGACAGCTAGCTGTAGGTCCGGCTGTTGGGAAAGGCTCTTCTGTGTAGAGGGGCTTTGGTGCAAACGCTGGAAGAAAGCCAATCAGTCACAAAAGAGCTAGGAAGATCAACAAAACCTCAGCTCCCAAATGGCAGGGAAATACAAACATTTCTCCAGAGATAAATGGGTCACTTTCTTTAGTGACTCCCTCACCAGGGCCATGTTGGCCCTATCTGGAGGGAACTGAGGAGAAGAGGTGTGGTCTCCAGCCTTCCTTAGCATCACCGGTCTCTGTGTCTGCCTGAGTCTTGAAATTGAGTGTGTTTGCCTTGAGTCAGAAAATTTGCATTTTCAACAATGGGTAACGATGACCCATCGATCACACTGAAGAACTGTTAACCAGGGTCTGGAGAGGTGGCCCAGTGGTTAGCAGTACTTGTTGCTTTTTCCGAGGGCCTGGGTTTGGGTCCCAGCACAGCATGGTGGCTTACAACCATCCTTAACTCCAGTGCCAGGGGATCTGAAGCTGTCTGCTGACCTCTGAGGGCGCCAGGCACTCACAAGGACAGGCTTTTCTTGTCCTTCCCTAAACAGTGTGGCTCCTGGGAGGAGTGTAGGCTAAGCCATTCATGATAGGGATTGCACCCTAAGAAGCGGTGTCTGCCAGGGTTCGTGGCATAAAGGGTGACTGCACGGTAGTGTTACCTTCCTGGTGGCACAGCACTTGTAAACACAGCACACACTGAAGCCAGGACTGTGCTGGCTAACACTTTCTTATGCACACAGGGTAGGGTTGTTTTGCCAAAGAGTCTTACTGTTTTGTAGCTCAGGCCAGCCTAGAATTTGCCATCCTGCCTTATTTATCTTCCCGAGAGCAGGGATGACAGGCATGACCCACCATGTCCAGGTGTATAGCCATGTTTTTACATCTCACTTTCTGGAAACTATAAACATCCAGAATTTGGGGAACCCTGGTTTACCATTGGGGGAGAGAAGAAAGCCACGTCCATGCTTCCTGGTGACTTCATGAAGGAAGTTAACTGGACTTGGTGGATTTGCCTTGCATCTCTTTTAGAGGAAGTTTGTGACCGTGTAATGATTGTTAATGTTTAAGCCCCACAATGGTCCTATTCAGGTTTCTGATTAAACCGTTCACTTCCGTCTTATATCTGGAAAGCAGTTATAGAAGCTGTGGTCATATCAGGAAAGCCACGCTTACAGAAAATGCCAGCTGTGGGCTGTGGACTGAGTTCACTGACTCAGAGGCAGCTGGAGACAGGGCATACTGATGTTTTACACTCAAAAGTGATGCAATTGATGGTCGGAGCCCCTGAAGAGCTTGGTGCTGCCTGGGCAGGATGTGCTCTCAGGATGTTGGCGTTTGAACTAACTGCTCTGTGGATTGCTGTCTGGGTATGGGTGGGGCCTATCCTGAGGGTAGGGACAGGGGTGTGTTATTTCTGCTTTGGTGACTTTGTGTCCTAAGCAGGTTTCTGTTGATGTGAGAACACTGTGGCCAAAAGCAACTTTGGGAGGAAAGTGTTTATTTGACTTACGGGTTATAGTTCATCACTGAAGGAAGCCAAGGCAGGAACTGAAGCAGAGACCATGGTGGAGAGACCATTGGCTGCTGACTGCCTTGCTTCCCATGACTTCCTCAGTTTGCTTTCTGACACTACCCAGGACCACCTGCCCAGAGGTGGTGCAGCTCATAGTGAGCCGAGTCCTCGTGCATCACCTATCAATCAAGAGATGCCCCACAGCCTTGCCCACAGGCCAGCCTGAAGGAGGCGTCTCTGCCAGTAGGTTCCTCTTCCCAGGTGAGGAGAGCTTATGCCAAGCTGACAAAAAAAAACTGACTGGTGAGCATGGCTAGCCTGACTCTTCTCATTTGATTGCTCAAATGTATTTGGTTATATGATTAAAAATCTGTGCAAAAGTGTGTTTTTTTTTTGTTTTGTTTTTTTTGAGGCTGGTTTCTTCGTGTAGCCCTGGATGTCCTGGAACTCACTGTGTAGACCAGGCTGGCCTTGAACTCAGAGATCCACCTGCCTCTGATTAAAGACCTGTGCCACCACCACCTGGCCTAAAAAAAGGAAAAATTTTAAAATGGGAAATACTTAGTGTGTCTGATAGGTCATCCCTTGTTCTTTGCTCCCTCCCTCTCTCCTTCCTTCCTTCCTCTCCTCTCTGCCTTCTTTCCCTCCCTCCCTTCCTTCCTCCCTCCCTCCCTCCCTCCCTCCCTCCCTTCCTTCCTCCCTCCCTCCCTCCCCCTGGCCAGCACTTGGGAGACAGGAGGCAGTTGTATTTCTTTGAGTTTGAAGCCAGCCTGGTCTGCATAGTGAGTTCCAGGACAGCTAGAGCTGCATAGAGACCCTGTCCAAACAGACCACCTTTAAATCAAGGTCTCTATCCGCACTGCCTGCTTGGTGCTGAGATTCTAACCCAAGAGCCTCATTTGTGCTAAGCACAGTCTGCCATTGGGCTACATCCTCAGGGTCCCTTCTGTTTTCTAAAAGAAGAAAGTAACTTTAGGCACAGCATACTGGCTGCTGATGCCCGCAATCCCAGCACTCAGGAGGCCGAAGCAGGAGAATCACTGAACTACGGAGTACCACCCTGTCTTAAAAACAGACAAAATTATCTTTTAAGAAAATAGTAACTCTTCCAGAGCGAGTGCAAGGATAGGCTCCAAAAGCTACAGAGAAACCCTGACAAAAAAAGAAAGAAAATAGTAACTCTAACCAGTTGGTTGAAGTTTTAAGATACAGTAAAGCCAGTGAGTGAGCATCCACAGCTTTTTCATGGCTTTTCTGATTTATGGAGACATTTACCCTGTTGTGGTGTCTGTAGTCCCAGCAGGTGGGTAGCTAGGACTGGAGGCTACGGAGTTCAAGGCCAGCCTGGTCTGCACAGTGGAACTGTTCTCCCAATCCCACTGCCAAAGACTGAGACTTTTTTTTTTTTTTTAAAGATTTATTATGTATGCAATGTTCTGTCTGCATGTTCACCTGCAGGCCAAAAGAGGGCACCAGATCTCATTTCAGATGGTTGTGAGCCTTCTTGTGGTTGCTGGGAATTGAGCTCAGAGCCTCTGGAAGAGCAGCCAGTGCTCTTAACTGCCTAGCCATCTCTCCAGCTCACCTTTCCTGCCTTTTTTTTTTTTTTAAAAAAACAAAAAACAAAAAACAAAAAAACAAAAAACAAAATAAAACCACAAAACAGTTTTTATGTTCACAGCAGGGAAGCCTGGACATGGGAGGGTTGCAGAGTTTAGACAGTTTAGATTTTTATAGTCTAAAGTGGGCCAAAGAAAAGTGAAGAATCCTGTCTGTTGTCCGTGTCCTCTGTGGCTGATCAGTCACTCAGCTGTGTGGCCTTGCCAGTCAAGCGTTGCCTCTCCCTCCTTGCAGCTGCTTTTCCACCTGAGACCCTTGTTCCCACCACAAGCAGGGTGGTTCTTGGCTTTGAAGTTTGCATGCCTTCCTGGGCGGTCATGCCCTAGTCTACAGTCAGGAAGGAGTTCCTTTTTCTTGGGGTTATTGTGTGAACATATTCTGCTGTGGCCACACTCCCAAGCCACCCACTGGTGACGTTTATCAGCCCTGCCTCAGTGGACATCGGAGTGAAAGGAGAGCCAGCAGCAGGCGCAGGGTTAGTCACTTCCGTATCACTGTAACCAAAGCTGTGGATGGAAACAATGAATCAATTTAAGGGAAAGTTTATCTTAGCTCCTGGTTTCAGGGGGATTTCAGGTTCTTATGGTTCCCAGCTCATCTCAGCCTGACTGCACATCTGGCTTCCATCCTGCTCCTGGGAAGGACAAGTCCTTTCTACGTGTGACATTGCGCATGATATAATTAACTCAAACCAGTTCACACTCACTTCCAGCGTGGCGTTCCCGAGTTGCTTATGGAGGCTTCATTGGGGGTGGCAGCTATTATGTGAGGGTGAACGACCAAAGCCTCCCCTGCTCTCTGGATAGCCTGGAGAGTGTCTGATTTCTCACAGATGGGGATACAGGTTTTGTTATTCCTGGTTGCCAGCGTGAGTAACCTCAGATTACACTGGAGATGTGAGTGCTACGATGCACCCATTATACAGATGAGCAATTTGGGAGTCAAGAGGCATGGTGCCGTGTTGAGCACTGAGTGGTGTCAGTCCACAAGCCTCAGCCTGGAGCACTGACCTCACCATTCAGGCATGTAGACCTGTGGCTGTGGGTAGTGGCTCTTCATGGAAGGGTCCATGTGTGATGGAGTGTATGAGTCAGAGGCTCCTCACGTTTGCCTTCCTGTGGTCTGACGCTTTGGGGATGGTAGACTTAGCATGCAAACTTGTGTGTTTTTATTTGGCAGATTCTCAGCCCTGGTTTTAAGATGGTGGGATTGGGAAATGGGCGTCGCAGCATGAAGTCTCCGCCCCTTATCCTGGCTGCCCTGGTGGCCTGTGTCATTGTTCTGGGCTTCAACTACTGGATTGCAAGCTCCAGAAGCGTGGAACTCCAGGTATGTTGTTTGTTTCGAGTGTATGGAATCCATTAAATGTTTAAAGTAGCTGGATGACAGCTCCATGGGCTCCTGAATCACTGTTAGTCAATGCCTTGGGTTCCTGTAGCCCCCACCAATAGTACTTGAGGTCCCAACCCCCTCCCTGGTCTCATGCCCCAGCCCAGTACTGCTTATTCTGTGACTATTGAGTTACAGTGCCTGTTGAGCACTTGGGGAGGCCTGCAACGCTGACCTACAGCGATGGACTGGATACCGCCCATTCAGTCCACTGGCGAAACCAAGGACCCTGTGGACATTCATTTTAGGTTAGGGGCCAATTCTGGATGAGGCCATGCAGTCCTGATTGTTGTTGGCTTGGTTTTTGTCAGCTTGACACAAGAGTCTTCTGAGAAAAGGGAGCTTCCATAGATGGGCCTGTAGCCAAGCCTGTGGGACATTTCTTCATTAGTGATTGACGTAGGTGAGCCTGTTCCAATGTGGGGTGGTGCCCATCCTGGAAGGAGAGAGGAGTCCCTGGGCAGATAGACTGTAGTTACACAGAAAGTGGCTAAACAGACAAGACGAGCAAACCAGTAAGCAGTACTCCTATGTTCTCCGCCTCAGTTCCTGTCTCCAGGTTCCTGCCCTGACTTCCCTCAGTGATCAGGACATGTCAGCCAAACAAGCCCTTTCTTCCCCAGGCTGCTTTTGGTTCTGGTGTCTATCATATCAGCAGAAACCTACCTAAGACACATACTGCTGACAGACTTGAAGTCCTCTGAAGCCTCCTCCTTCCTAGGTCATAGTTGCTGTTTTTGCTCTGCCAATCTAGTCCTGCAAGGAATATGCTCATCCGTCCCCTAAAAGTCTTGGTCATTGGCTGCCTCTGGCAAGTGTCTGATTAAAGTATGTTAGCAAGTCCCCACCTTGTGTCCCTCGGGTTAGCTTGCACCCACCACCCCTTCCCTTGCTCTGTTCTTTGCTGGGCTGTAAGCTTCGGTCCTGTGAGGTCTTTGTTGAGGGAGCTGGCATTATCTCTGCCGATGATATGGACCTTGGACTTCAGGGCTGTGGTCTCCTTGTAGACACGCATTGTGGAGCTGGAAGGCCGGGTCCGCAGGGCAGCGGCAGAGAGAGGAGCTGTGGAGCTGAAGAAGAACGAGTTCCAGGGCGAGCTGGAGAAGCAGCGGGAGCAACTCAACAGGATCCAGTCTAGCCATATCTTCCAGATGGAGAATGCCAACAGGTTGCACGAGGACGAGAAGGCAAGGCCCATGTCCCCACTGCCCTCTTCCGAACCACACGGTCAATGGGTGTAGATTTATGTAATTGCATGGAGGTGTGAGCATGCCGGTGTGACTTTGGGTACCGGCCCCCAGCTCCAGTGTTCCCAGCTGACATGTTTGCAGTGTCAGCAGCAGGGTGGGGGGGGGGAGACTGTGAGCAGAGTAAGGGGCAGGGAGGAGTGAGCAGAGCAAGGTGGCGTGGAATCTCCAGCTGCTGGCATTTGCCTGCTTTCTTTTCTGCCAGGCTGTGTCAAATACTGGTCCTAGACAGATTTGTGTGTGTGTCTTCAGAGAACTCACACACACAGAGAAGAAGCAGCCTATAAACCAAGGAGGATACGGAACATACATGCAAAAACTAGTCTCCCTAAGGTCTAAAAAATACCATCAATCCATAGAACAAAAGACCAGTGCCCTCAACGATTTCTTTGAATGGAAGGTATAACTACAGAATTGGGAGAGGAAGAAACAAAGGCTGTGCAGGAAAGGACGAATGCAAATTAAATATGAAATGTACTTTTAGGCAAAAAATAAAAACATCACACAGAGGGAAGGTATTGCTTTCTAGCACTTTCAGCAAAGGGACCCAGCACATGGCTGTAAGCCGCACCTTAGACGAGCTGTGACAAAGGCCTCCTGTTCATCAGTGTGCCTCATCCCCCGTGGTTTTTCTGAGGGTTATCCAAATCTAAGAGGGTGGAAGTCATTAGTGTACATCAAAGCCATGGCCACTTACTGTCCTCCTGGTTTGCTCTGTGTCGCACTCCCTCCCTGGCCATGGCTGCTTTGTTGGGAGGAGGCTTTGTGAGGGCTTTGTTCTCAGGTCCCAGTCCCAGTGACAAATGCCCGGAGAAATTGCTTCATGGAGCACTCTGTTCATGGAGCACTCTGTTCATGGGGGACTCTGTTCATGGAGGACTCTTCATGGGGCACTCTTCATGGAGCACTCTGTTCATGGAGCACTCTGTTCATGGGGGACTCTGTTCATGGAGCATTCTGTTCATGGAGCACTCTGTTCATGGAGCACTCTGTTCATGGAGGACTCCGTTCATGGGGGACTCTGTTCATGGAGCACTCTGTTCATGGAGGACTCTTCATGGAGGACTCTGTTCATGGAGGACTCCGTTCATGGGGGACTCTGTTCATGGAGCACTCTGTTCATGGAGCACTCTGTTCATGGGGGACTCTGTTCATGGAGCACTCTGTTCATGGAGGACTCTGTTCATGGGGGACTCTGTTCATGGAGCACTCTGTTCATGGAGGACTCTGTTCATGGGGGACTCTGTTCATGGGGCACTCTGTTCATGGAGCACTCTTCGTGGAGCACTCTGTTCGTGGAGGACTCTGTTCGTGGAGGACTCTGTTCATGGAGGACTCTGTTCATGGAGGACTCTGTTCATAGCACTCTGTTCATGGAGG